CAAAAAACAAGGCAGTGGAATTTTCCGGCCCAGCTGGCAATGAAGTCTGTCTGCTGGAGCTGAATACATTGGTGCTCCCTAAGGATCCACCTCAGTATCCGCTTCTCCTGCACATTGACAAGAATATATTCCCAAAAGAGAGAGATAGAGAGGCTTATTTGAATTGGATATATACATTTATTTAAAAATTCATAGTTGTATAACAGATTATCTATATTCAAACAATTATCTATATATTGTGTATCAATAAATATAACATATCTTTGTGCAAAGCATGAAAGTGGAGAGTTTTACAGTACAGCGCTGCAAGATCTTCCCTTAATATGTTGGCCCTAATGATCAACAACAGCAACATCTCTTTTCTCTTCCATCTCTTTTCCCTAGCTGAAGGAACAGGCTACAGAATGCATTTCACCATTGTAGTTGGTTCTCTTTCAAATACTTGTTTTGATGTACCACGTGGGATTCGCAAGTTTCACCTATTAGGCTTGGGCGGTATCCAGATCATCATACCTTCATAACGACCTTGTGCCATAATGGGATATTCTGCAATACTGGCACTGAACACAATGGGGACGCTGTTTTCAAACCCCACTGATACTCTGTAATCCAAAGGTTAGCAATGCCAACAAGTACATGTACAATCCCATAGAGAATGCTAACTAAATGCTAATGTGCGCATTGCAAACATTTTGTACAGTTTCTGACCTAAACTATACAAGTATACATGTAACTCAAAAATGCTACTCACAAAACAAAAATTAGCCAGCAAGGCTCTTGAACCAGGAGGGGATTCTCTGCTGTTACCAAGTTAATGCTTGATTTTGAAAGAAGCTAACCACTTACCTAGATAGCTAACTCCTCAATGGAGCAGGGCCAAGACATACCAGTCATATCCTACTGCCCAGGATTAGGAATACTGTATTAGGAATAATGTACTGCAGTCATTTCCTTCTTCCTTCGGCTACATTGCCTGACATCTTAAATCAGGGGTGTCAAACTCATTTTAGCTCAGGGGCCACATGGAGGAAAATCTATTCCCAAGTGGGCCGGACCGGAAAAATCATGGCATATATAACTTAAAAACAACAACTTCAGATTGTTTTCTTTGTTTTAATACGATCAACATACAACATAAAGCTGGAGCCTGAGGACAGTGTGTCCAAAATAGTACAAGCACAACATCACTATTAATCATAAAACACGTCAAGTTTATTTGAAAATTCTAAAGAAAAAGAACACAAACACACAATGCCTCAGTGATTAACAGAACTGTTTCACAGATCACAGAACTATATCAGGGGGTCATTTCTCAGGCAGAAATGTAGATAAAAAGAATGAAATCCTGTTCCCCAAACAAGTGCAAGAACCACAGAGTCAAGAATAGGTTAAATATACAAATAAAATAAAATCAATTAAAAACAATAGCACATCAACATAAAAACATATAAACATAAAGCTGGAGCCTGAGGACACTGTGTCCAAAAGCACAACATCACTATTAATCATAAAACACCTCAAGTTATTTGAAAGTTCTGAGGACAAAGAACACACAAACACACAATGCCTCAGTGATTCACAGAAGTATATCACAGATCACAGAACTATATCAGGGTGTCTCATGTAGCACTTTAAGTGGGGTTGCATTGTTTATTTGACTCCTGATACCTGGCATCTTTTAGCTTTCACCAGCGCATCAATATCAGGCGTCACATCCTGAGGGCGCACCATCTGTAGCCAGGCTGACAGCGCGGGACCAGTCCACTCCGACCCTGTCCAGCGCGCCGACGAGTGCGGTAAAAATATCAGCTGCTGTCGTTGTATCTGTCATCGGCACCAACTCCACGAACTCCTCGGTGACGGTCAATGTGTCATCAACTCCGCGGATGAAAATGGCCAGTTGTGCAACATCTGTAATATCCGTGCTTTCATCAATTGCAACCGAAAACGCAATAAATGACTTTACTTTTTGCTTGCAACTGGCTGTCCAAATCCACTGAAAGATCGGAAATCCTGTCTGCAACTGTGTTTCTTGTCAGGCTGATATTTACAAAAGCCTGACGCTTTTCAGGGCACACAATCTCCGCTGCCTTCATCATGCATGTTTTTACAAATTCACCCTCACTAAATGGTTTTGAAGCCACTGCGATTTCATTAGCAATGAGGTAGCTAGCTTTCACTGCAGCGTCACTGATGTCTCGGCTGTGAGTAAACACAGACTTGACCTACTTGCTCTGCCCCGGTATAAACAGTTTGCTTGCTTAACACAATTGCTATTGCGCCATCCAGTGGACACAATTGGAACAGCAGTTTATTTTATTGAAAAATTGCAGCCCATTTTTATACTTTACAAAATCATCTCGCGGGCCGGATTAAACCCGTTTGCGGTCCTGATCTGGCCCGCGGGCCGGACGTTTGACACCCCTGTCTTAAATCATGCCACCGGCTGCTCTGGACCGAGAGAGCACGCTTCCCACATCTATCCGGCCTGACTTGCTGCAGCCTGGTAGAAGCTACAACCCTGTGAGGGCCCTGGGAGACCCCATCCTCAAAACGGTGACCATGCCATTTGGGGTGGGAGAGCTGACACACCCTTGAAATAGGGTGAGGTCGTATATGCTTTTCCTCCTCCGTCAATACGGAGCAAGGAAATTGGACCTCCCCCTCATCTTCGAGCCCCTCGATGGCCAGAGACATTCCGGTTGGCAGTTACACGCTGCTCACGACCAGTCCAGGCTGCTATCATCATGCAGGATTTGTACCCTAGCAAACAAAGCAATTCTATACCCTCACCCGGATGCTATAGCCCTCGGAGCATAGCAGGCCCGCGACTTCTGGAAAAGAGTGCCAGCCCCCTTAGGCATGCTCTCTGTTTTACAGTTGATGCGTTTTATTGGAAAAATGATATGACTAAACAGAGCGTTCGTTCCTACACTCGGTTTTCCATCATCCTATGCTGCTAAAAATGCAGGACTTTTTTGGACGGAAAGGTTTCATCATAGTTAAGGTCGCTTTCTTGGGCTGCGAGGGCCCCAACTGGAATTCAGTTTATCCAAACTGTTGTCGTTTCTAAGGGGGCACGTCGCTTACGCCCAGACTCTAAGTCTTCAGCTCGTCCTGGGACGTGTGTATTGTGCTTTCACAGCAGTTACTAGCCGCTGAGAAGCGTGGAGATGCCCTTGGCGTCCCTAAAGAGATTTTCTCTTTGTCACACCTTGGAGCCTATGGCTTGTTGCCTGTCGCCTTCCCCAGAAGGGTGTCCCTATCATTGTCCAGTATGCGTGTTGCGCATCTACTTGGATGGAATGAGAGCTCAGGCAAGGTTATCATGCTCTTCACTCATTGGGAAACCAATGGACCCTTCTATCTTCGACGGTATCCTGCCGGATCATGGGGACTATTACATTTATTTATAATTGCGAGGGTGACAGCCTTCGGAGGGGTCTGAAAGGGCCCATCCTTCAGAGGAGTTTACCTCTTGGGCACTGTTTTTGGGACATATCACACTGAACTTAGATTTTGTGTGGCACAAATTGGGCTTCCCCTCACTTAGTTATGAGGTTTCTCCCGACGGGTTGTTTCTGCACCTTCTTGGTGAGTACTCCCTCAGTTTCGGAGCCTCTGAGGGTTGCTGATGTTGGGACTACCCTGGCTTCAGAGACCATGTTTTGCGATATGGGAGTTGGCCATATCCCATGTGTTACAGCGAAATGAGCACTTGAAAGACAACTTAAGGTTACTTGTGGAACCCCGGTTCTCTGATAATGAGTGAGATGTATCACCGTATTCCCCTGTGAGGAAGAGCACGAGGAAGAGAAGCATACTTGAGAATAACCAGAGGGCGGGAGAGTGGCTCGTTATAAGGAGATGAGGGGCTCACCTTTTTCGCCACTCTACTTGTCTGTCGGTCTCAGATGCTTTTGATAGGTTCTTTCGAGAGTATAGGTGATCCTAGCGAATCCCACATGTGATACATCTCACTGTGATACATCTCACTCATATTATCAGAGATCCGGGTTTACGCAAGTAACCTGTCACGACTTCCACCGAGGCTGCCCCCCAACCTGGTTCGGGCAGGCTTCAGCATTCGTCGTCACCGGAGTACTAGCTACTGCCTGTCTTGTCAATCACACACACCTGGTGCTCATTCCCCTAATTAGTATGTGTATAAGTGTTCCCTCTGTTCCCCTTGCCTTTGTGAGTGATTGTTTGTTGTGAGAGCGTGTAGCTCGGTTGAGCTACTATTCACTGTGTTTATGCCAAGGTGGATGTTTTCCCTTGTAATAGTTTCGTTTGACACTTTGGACGTTTGATTTATGTAAATGGCATAAACTCTGGACTTCGGTATTTTACCTCCTGCGCCTGACTCCTTCATTCACACCTCGTCACGTAACCTTAGGTTTTGTTTCAGTACTGTAAGAAATATTTCTGCATGCAAAACAAACCTTACTGGTCTCATCTGTGATTTGATCAAACTTAGCACACTGATAACTCCCACAGATCCCTTTTCACCTTAGTGGTTTCCATGGAGCTCAGTTAGGTTCTATTTAGAGCTGGAGTCAAATTCTTGCCACTGAATTTGACCACCCATATTCAGAAAGATGAAACGCTAAGACAATGCGTGTGCCTAAAAACCTACGTACTGTAGATACGACAGGTTTTAACAATAACAGCAGCAACTAATATCCTAATGGTTAACTACAAACTACATTAAGTGCCTTTATAGTAACTGTGGGAAAATCAAAATCTTAATTACAGGCGCTTGCCTAGAAGGAAAATGTTTACATTTACATTTTAGCCATTTAGCAGACGCTCTTATCCAGAGTACATACAGGCCCCCCGTGGGAAACAAACCCACAACCCTGGCGTTGCAAGCGCCATGCTCTACCAACTGAGCTACAGGGGATACATAATGGGACACACAATGTTGAGTCCCTTATGAATATAGCAACAATTCAGATATTCCCTTCTAAATAGTTAATTATCCAAACAAGGCATCATCATGCCATCCCTTTAGATTTAGTCTCTGCAGTGAGGTAGAGGTGTTGTTTGAGGGTCTGGGCCCAGGGCAGCTGATGATAGCCCTGGCCCAGCTTGCGGAGTCGGAGGCTGTGTTCAGAGCCGTTGTACAGGTTGTGGTCCTGGCCTGGGTCTCTCTCCATGAGGTACAGTTCCCCAGCGTGGACCACCAGGTCAGTCTGGAAGCTAGCAGGGTCGAAGCCCACCCACAGGGTGAAGCGGTAGTCCCAGGAGGTCAGAGAGTAGCCCATCACCCGAATGTCCTTCAGGTTGTGTAGGTCAGAGTTCTCCTGGGGGGTGTCTGCAGGCCGAGGGTACTGGCTGCAGGCGATGGACTCCAAGTCCATGCTGTCATCTAGGTGCTTGAAGGTGTAGGCCAGGTTGTCTCCCTCGGTACAGAGCTCCACGTCGAAGGAGTCATCAAGACAGGGGTGTGGGGGCTTCAGCCCAGCCAGGTTGGACACTGTGGGGAAGACATCTAGCAGCTCATTCACGTTCCTCACTGTTCATCCTGTGGAGGAGAGTAAGGTAGAGTCACAACCCTTCAACATATAATGTACTACACTGGGAATAACAATGTTACATAGTAGAGAACAAACTTCTCTTGCACCAATCTGTCCTGTGGGAGAATGATTGTCACAGGGACAGGAAGGAGCCAGAGGAATACGAAAGTGTGTCTCAAATTACTCAATGGCTTTCTTTCCTTTACGATACCACTGTTAGATAGGGGGAAAAAAGACTGGATAGGTTTCCACCATGCTGCTTTCATCTGTCACACCTTGCCAGATCAGTGATAATGATATAATAAAGACAAGTATAAGAGAAGTACACACAAGGAATTAAAACTAGTTACTAACTACAGTTTACATATACTTAGGATGGAGTGATTAAAATTAGTTTTTCAACCACTCCACAAATTTCTTGTTAACAAACTATAGTTTTGGCAAGTCGGTTAGGACATCTGCTTTGTGCATGACACAAGTCATTTTTTCAACAATTGTTTACAGACAGATTATTTCACTTATAATTCACTGTACCACAATTCCAGTGGGTCAGAAGTTTACATACACTAAGTTGACTGTGCCTTTAAACAGCTTGGAAAATTCCAGAAAATTATGTCATGGCTTTAGAAGGTTCTGATAGGCTAATTGACATCATTTGAGTCAATTGGAGGTGTACCTGTGGATGTATTTCAAGGCGTACCTTCAAACTCAGTGCCTCTTTGCTTGACATCATGGGAAAATCTAAATAAATCAGCCAAGACCTCAGAAAAAAAATTGTAGACCTCCACAAGTCTGGTTCATCCTTGGGAGCAATTTCCAAATGCCTGAAGGTACCACGTTCATCTGTACAAACAATAGTACACAAGTATAAACACCATGGGACCACACAGCCGTCATACCGCTCAGGAAGGAGACACGTTCTGTCTCCTAGAGATGAACGTACTTCGGTGCGAAAAGTGCAAATCAATCCCAGAACAACAGCAAAGGACCTTGTGAAGATGCTGGAGGAAACAGGTACAAAAGTATCTATATCCACAGTAAAACGAGTCCTATATCGTCATAACCTGAAAGGCCGCTCAGCAAGGAAGAAGCCACTGCTCCAAAACCGCCATAAAAAAGCCAGACTACGGTTTGCAACTGCACATGGGGACAAAGATCGTACTTTTTGGAGAAATGTCCTCTGGTCTGATGAAACAAATATAGAACTGTTTGGCCATAATGACCATCGTTATGTTTGGAGGAAAAAGGGGGTCGCTTGCAAGCCGAAGAACACCATCCCAACCGTGAAACACGGGGGTGGCAGCATCATGCTGTGGGGGTGCTTTGCTTCAGGAGGGACTGGTGCACTTCACAAAATAGATGGCATCATGAGGAAGGAAAATTATGTGGATATATTGAAGCAACATCTCAAGACATCAGTCAGGAAGTTAAAGCTTGGTCGCAAATGGGTCTTCCAAATGGACAATGACCCCAAGCATACTTCCAAAGTTGTGGCAAAATGGCTTAAGGACAACAAAGTCAAGGTATTGGAGTGGCCATCACAAAGCCCTGACCTCAATCCTATAGAAAATGTGTGGGCAGAACTGAAAAAGCATGTGCGAGCAAGGAGGCCTACAAACCTGACTCAGTTAAACCAGCTCTGTCAGGAGGAATGGGCCAAAATTCACCCAACTTATTGTGGGAAGCATGTGGAAGGCTACCCGAACCGTTTGACCCAAGTTAAACAATTTAAAGGCAATGCTACCAAACACTAATTGAGTGTATGTAAACTTCTGAACCACTGGGAATGTGATGAAATAAATAAAAGCTGAAATAAATCATTCTCTCTACTATTATTCTGACATTTCACATTCTTAAAATAAAGTGGTGATCCTAACTGACCTAAAAACAGGGAATTATTACTAGGATTAAATGTCAGGAATTGTGAAAAACTGAGTTTAAATGTATTTGGCTAAGGTGTATTGAAACTTCCGACTTCAACTGTATATGAGTGAAAACCCTGTGTAAAGTGATGCTGTGCTGGACCAAACACATCTATGTAGGGGAAGATCTTATCCCCTGGCCACGGACAGACTGCATTCACAGCTGGTACATAGAACATTAGGGGAACGCGAGTGGCCACGTCAAAGTTGCTGTATTTGGCCCATTCCCCATGCTCCCCAAGTGACCATCCTGTAAGAGAAATTAATAATATTTTACATAAACGGCAATGTATTTAAACAATCAGACAATATAACATTTAATATTGGCCATGGTATGCAACATACAGGTATAGAATAAAAAATGTGTAACAATCACTCATTTTACATTCAATGCTCCTGTAAATCAACAGACAATTCGTAGTCAAGTCAACATATCAGTCCCTCCAGGATTTTGCAGGGATTTTATGTGACATTTGCAGGCCAAAATTCTGACATTTTGCACGGTAATATGCAATGATTTTGTCCAATTTGTCGTGGAAATGCGCTGACGAGGGAAAAAATGTGTTGACGTGTGGCTTGATTGAACCATATTATGTGGTAAATGTGTGGTGATTGGTTGAAAATACAAACCCTCTTTTTTTTACCGCAGTGATGGGTCAGTTTTATGCGATGATTTCACTTTGTTTTATGTAGAAATAGTGCGGTGATTGTTCAAATTTGCAAGCCCTCGCATAATATGGAGGGAATTGTTGATTTTGCACCCAAAAAAATGTGATCGCAGAATCCTGGAGGGACTGATATTTGATATGAATAGATCCAAGCATGAGGCTGGTGAAGTAAGTCTTTGTCAACTCAGGAAGGTTAAGGCAGAATGTTTATGTTGTCACACCCCCATCTAGTGGCTAAAGAGTACCTCAAGTAATTTGCCTGTTGAAAAGTCAAAGCCATTGACAGACCATTACAGACACTAGGGGTTCGTTCAGTTCAATTAAACGTTTGGTACATTGCGTGACGGTTTGTACTGAACGACATGTTTCCCCACGTTCTTGAACAAACTTTGAGGTATGTTTGCTCCGTTTGGTGGGTGTGGTGGGGTGTGGCTTGGAGCAATGAATGACGTATTTAAAGGGCAGCGGTGTATTTTGAATCGTCATACCAACCCACAACCCAAACCCTCCCTGTTTTTCAACTTGTCATGCAGAACAGCATCGTTTCCATTCAATTGAATGCTGCACACCATTTTTTCATACTGAACACAGCCCAGTTTAGACTGGGCGATATGGTCAAACTATCAGAACACAATATTGTTCAAATTTTTTATGGTATTTTATGTTTCCGAATAATAAAAGTACTAAATTTTTTATGAGTAATGACCCTAGGAAGGCAACAAATGAATTCTAAGAGGTTTAATGGTCTTTCTCTATTCTGATTGTTTTATAATTCTCAACCAAACTAGGACAAAACTGACAGTCAATGACATTTATTTAGCACTGTATCAAAATACAGTTATAGACAACATAGTTCAAATCCCTACCCCTATGTGGATCCATACCGGTATACCTTACAATACGGTATATCTTACAATACGGTCCAGGCCTACACCAGTTAGATGTATGCAACAGATCTACAAATTTGTACGTAATATATTTAAACAGGACCAAGGGTAGAGTTGTCTTACCATGGTCTGAAGTAAAGACCACAACAGTGTCTTCAGCCAGGCCCAGATCATCCAGAGTATTTAACAACCTGCCCACTTGGGAGTCCAGGTACTTCACAGAGACATAATAGTGCTGTCGAATCTGGAGCTGAGTCACAAACATTGTCTGATGAAGGTCTCTGACCGAAACGTCATTTATAATTTATAATAAACAATATATTTTTTATAATGAGAGAGTGTCATGACATAACTTCTGATGCTGAATCACTATCCCAAATATTAAATGGTATGTATGTAGCCAATCATAACAGATTATTTGTAGATTTCTTTGTGCTTCAAGCGTCTAGAGCCACATATAAAAAATATAGATTTGCCCCTACAATCATGGAACTACTCTTACAAAAACTGGTTCCAAAAGGGTTCTTTGGCTGTCCCCACAGGATAACCCTTTTCGGTTCCAGGTAGAACTCTTTTGGGTTCCATGTAATTTAGAACCCTCTGAGTAAAGGGAACAGGGTTGGAGAGCCTGATCTACATTCTATTGAGTGAATCATAAATTATATTGAGTGAATCATACTTGCTCATCTATGTCTTCTGATTGCAGTTAAACCCCTCAGTGTCTGAAAATAAGAAGGGCAGCTTCAGGTGCGGTACCTGTGGGATTCTGAAGGGAATGTGAGGTTTGTGGAATCCAACAGCCAGAAAGAAGTGCTAGTCAAAATCCCTTGTGGACTTGAGCAGTCTGACGGCCTCCTCTGTGCTCTCCATGTCTGGTAGTGTCTCCAGAGGGGTTTCTGACACATTCATCGAGCACAGCAGGTTGACATGCAGTTGGCCATCAATTCCCTTGCAAACCTAAACAAACCAACACATTTTATTTTGCTAAACAACATTTTACGTTTTTGAATTTGTGAAAATGCAGAAAAACATCTTACGATAAGCAGTTTGAGCAATACACAGAGAGATGGCTCAAATCAGACAACAGGCAGAAGCATCTTTAGCCATTATATCTTAAAAATGGAATCCGCAGTAGGGGGAAACAGCGCCACTGTCCGCCCTACCAATGTTGTTTTTGTTTTGTTGAAGAAGCAGAGGTAACAAGCCTCCCACAATGTGGTACAAAATTATTGCGGTACTTACTCTGCTGTTCTATCCCTGTGCAATGACATCTGAGGGAAAAAACTGTGCTTCGCTGTTTTACGGTGTCCACTAGGGAAAATGTGGCGCTGGATATTTGACCAGCAGAATTTTTAATTTAGCAGACATTTCAGAAATGTACCGGACTCATAAGCATTGGATGAGTAACCTGATTAGGGCATCCACCCATTGTGCTCAGAATGACAGAAATCACATTTAGATGAAGGTCATTCATATTAACAGAACATGCAAGTGGAGGATGCAATGATGTGCGGCCCTTCTTACCAAATTCTGACGTGCACTTTGAAGGTGTTAGAATAACTGTCCACATTTACTTTTCCTCAGCCAACAAGAAGAATAACGAACAGCAAAATCACTAGCCTATGTCAATCTACTATCCCCCATAGTAGAAAAGTTTACCTATTCTATTGGTGTGATTGTTGAGAAAGAAATAGCCTATTCCAAACAGACTCTGGTACAGCTGTAGGACGATAGATCCCAAATGTATACAACCAGTAGGCCTAGGCTTCATATACAAAAAAAAACATGAAAAAGCAAAGAGTCTGATGCAACAGATCAGAAAATCCTGCTCAAAATGTTGATAAACGATTATTTATTCACATTATAAGTGCAGCAACGCGCACAAGGCAGTAGGCTTCACGTGAATGTTCGTACCATAATGCAATTAGCGGGGGAAAAGACAGTTGTCAAAACCACACCGCATATGACAGAGGTTTCATGTGACAGAGATGAAAATATATGTTAGACATTTAGAAAGAGGGGAGATCTAATATGCAAGATGTAGCATGGGTTGCTAATATGACTAGGATTGTGCCTTTGGCTACTGGACAATGAAAGAAAGTTGATATAATATAATTGCCTCCACGGATATGGTCAGATTTTGGCTAGGCTTCTTTGAAGCAAGGTAAGACATGCCTCATAATATGTAGTAAAATGTTCAGGTTTCAAACAATTAAGTATATGTTTTCAAAATGCATACTGCCTCCAGCTGGTGCGCTGATGAAGCCTGCCTTCTGTTGCATATGCATTTGCTGTTTGAGATGCTGTAGCAGCAGCTCTCGCTCTGTCTGACAGATATTCCGCTCAAAGGTTCTGTATCTGTATGCTGTACTCGTGATAAATAAGAGACATAACGAATATGCTGTACACATGCGCCAATTTAATTCCACTAAATTATGCAAATTAACCTATAGACCGATAAGCATGACCAGTCAAATGTATTTACATCCACTGGTATTTCCATCAATTAATAGGCTAAAAAGCATTATTTCGCAATGGGCTTTTTTCTCTCCCGGTGGACAATTGGCTGGCAGCAATTTTATTTATCAGCTTTTCAACAAGCAAAAAATATATTGTCCAAAACCTGGCTATTACCGGCTAACGGAAACCTTGGTTTTCTTAGAGGAGTATACTACACAATGAACTACTGTTTGCAATAACTTCTTTGTTGTTGTAATATCGCAAACGGACTTGGCAGTTTCACAATTAAGGATTCCAGCTTTAAATGAATGTTTGTATGCTGAATGGAATCCATTCACTATACTAAATAGAACCCGTTAAATATACAAACATTCATTGAAGTTATACATGACCAGAGCATCTGTAGACTAGGGAGACATGGCAGCAGTCAAGGCAACCACTGACCTTCCTATTTCCATATTTGAAAGATGGAGGATGATAAGGCAGTACAGACCAGCTGTACGGGTAATCATCTGAGTGATTGGAGGCTATGCCTTCAACATAAGCACATAAAACAGTGATATTAGCAGGAGGCAAGTATTAACAACACAAAGGAAACAGCCTCTGTCAATTTGGAAGCTCTCACATGATATACTGCACAAAATAAGCAGGGAGATATTTTAAAACATTGAACACAGTGGATATTAAACAAAGTGGAGAAAACCAGAGAATGTGTTAGCAATAGTTTCAATGTGGTGTAGCTTAAAGTTGTACCCTACAAACCTTAATTGGTGAGCTACAAGTGGCTAGTATTTACCTGGTGACCGACATGTCAACTTGACATAGTGGTGTAGCCCTTTGACTTGAAGTACTGGGGAGAGTTGTGTAGTTACCTGCACTCCAGTAGAAGTTAAAGTCATATAACTTGGTTGTGTCAAGTCTACGACTTGTTAGTAAGGAGGTCCGACTTGGTGCACACACTGCTTGCTACAAATTGAATGACAGAAAGATAAATATAAAGGTGAAGAAGAAAAATAGGAGATTAAATCATACAATTACAATGGATTGCCAATTTAAGTTGGCTTGGGCTACATAATTAAATAACTTATCTGCTGTAGGCCTACCTGGGCATATGCGTTGAGAAAGACATTGCTTTTAGAGAAAGTTGATCAATGTTTGGTGACTTCACAACAGGATCTCCGTAGTATCCTAATGTTGGTCTCAAATCATCAGCCATGATGAAAATAACATTTTGCCTAATGTAAAGCATACTGTGTCCATAATAAGTATATAGGTTATAGGTTGAGAGCTTTTGTGAAAGAGCACAGTTAGAAAGATATGGCATACAGATGCAAACCGTATGGACATCATGAAAATGATCGGAGAGGTTGAGGGTAGAGGAAGTTCAAGTGTAAAAACAAACAAAATAGAATTATTGTAAAATTGACTGTGTCCATAAAATAGTATGTATAAGCTGGAAGTAGAGGCCTAAGCATTGTTGTACACTAGTTTACTCCAATTAGGGAAGGGGTGGTGGGGTTGGAAAGTAATAAAGGGAAATATTATTTTTTAAAGGATATGTGTATGTATATGTATGTATATGTATATATATATATATATATATATATATATATATATTTGCGAGAGAAAAAAAACATATGGGGGATTGGAAGTGATGCAGACAATTACATTGATGGAAGTTACAATCTATATGCAATATTAAAGCTGATCTACCCCCCAAAAAATTAACATTTTGCCTGTCTAAAGAAAAACAAATTAGTGGTACAATGTTGCCCCACCTTTATCAGCTACAAATGTAGCAAGCGTACACAAATGTAGCAAGCGGAAGTGGAGGGAGTACAGGGCTTAGCATGTCCCTAGAGGAGGCTAAAAATAGATTTTGACTTGGAGAAGTTGAATATTTTCAGGAGTCGGGTAATTGGTTAAGGGAGGAGGATTGGAGGGAAAGAGAGAGGAGGTTGAAAAGACTGAGGGGATGGGTTTGTATCTGTTGAAGCTAGCAATAACAAGGGAGAGGGTATGTCGAGGAAGATTGGTGTCAAGAAAGAAGGGATACTGGTCTGTAGTTGTTGACATCGGAGGGATCGAGTGTAGGTTTTTTGAGGAGGGGTGCAACTCTCGCTCTCTTGATGACGGAAGGGACATGGCCAGCGGTCAAGGATGAGTTGATGAGCGAGGTGAGGTAAGGCAGAAGGTCTCTGGAAATGGTCTGGAGAAGAGAGGAGGGGATAGGTTCAAGCGGGCAGGTTGTTGGGCGGCCGGCCGTCACAAGTCGCAAGATTTCATCTGGAGAGAGAGGGGAGAAAGAAGTCAAAGCATAGGGTAGGGCAGTGTGAGCAGGACCAGCGGTGTCATTTTACGTAATAAATGAGGATCGGATGTCGTCAACCTTCTTTTCAAAATGGTTGACGAAGTCATCCACAGAGAGGGAGGAGGGAGGGGGAGGAGGAGGAGGATTCAGCAGGTAGGGGAAGGTGGCAAAGAGCTTCCTAGGGTTAGAGGCAGAGGCTTGAAATTTAGAGTGGTAGAAAGTGGCTTTAGCAGCGGAAACAGAGGAAGAGAATGTAGAGAGGAGGGAGTGAAAAGATGACAGGTCCGCAGGGAGTCTAGTTTTCCTCCATTTCCGCTCGGCTGTCCGGAGCCCTCTTCTGTGAGCTCGCAATGAGTTGTCAAGCCACGGAGCAGGAGGGGAGGACCGAGCCGGACGGGAGGATAGGGGACATAGAGAGTCAAAAGATGCAGAAAGGGAGGAGAGGAGGGTTGACAAGGTAGAATCAGGAGATCGGAGGGAGAAGGATTTAGCAGAGGGAAGAGATGATAGGATGGAAGAGGAGAGAGTAGCGGGAGAGAGAGAGCGAAGGTTGCGACGGCACATTACCATCTGAGTAGGGGCAGAGTGAGTAGTGTTGGAGGAGAGCGAGAGAGAAAAGGATACAAAGTAGTGGTCGGAGACTTGGAGTGGAGTTGCAGTGAGATTAGTAGAAGAACAGCATCTAGTAAAGATGAGGTCAAGCGTATTGCCTGCCTTGTGAGTAGGGGCGGACGGTGAGAGGGTGAGGTCAAAAGAGGCAGAGAGAAATGAGTCAAAGGCAGACGTAGGGAGGTTAAAGTCACCCCGAACTGTGAGGGGTGAGCCATCCTCTGGAAATGAACTTATCAAGGCGTCAAGCTCATTGATTAACTCTCCAAGGGAACCTGGACGGCGATAAATGACAAGGATGTTAAGCTTGAATGGGCTAGTGACTGTGACAGCATGGAATTCAAATGAGGAGATAGACAGATGGGTCTATTTGTGCCGAATACACTGCTGTATTATAGGTGTCACGTTTATGGGCATGTTGCAGCAGTGTATAGGAGGAAGAATCCAAGATGTGGAAGTGTGCAGGAGCACATGGGACAGAGGAATGTGTAGTTCCAGTGGAAAAATATGTGTGTGTCAACTGTAGGGGTGCCCATGTTGCTGGGGATCGGAGGTGTCCGGTGCGAGAAAGGCAGGTTGAGGTGGACAGGGTCAGAGTAGTGCAGAACATGTTGTATGCTGAGGCAGTGAAGAAAGTAGAGGAGGGTGGATCAAGGGTGAGGGATTCTGAGAGGATCCCTGTGAATAGTAGATCTGTGCCAGAACAGAGGGATAGGCCAATGAGTGATATGTTTCAGTAAGGTTGGCTTCTTAGTATTCATAGCAATGGTTATCAACTGTAACGCAGAGATGGAACATAAGTCACAGAACATTGGTGGCAGCTGCAAAGAAGTACTTTGGGGTACAAGATTTGACTTCAGAAGAGTTACAGGGTGTGTTGAGTGGTAATGTCCCATCCTCTCAGGTCGTTGGCCTGGGGTAGGATCAGATAGGGTTAAAGTAGTGGAATAATGAGTGTAGGTTTAGGTGGTAGGGTAATTAAAAATATTATTTTATTTTTCCCGTTTCCCGTTTTCCCATTTTTCACAAGTGTAATGGATTTATACTATAGTTCAGTTGGGTGCGGTAATGCAACATATTGGATGCTAACCGCCGTTAAACCTCATCAAAGACGAAGAAGAAACGTAGCAAGCAGCTTGAACACACATCAGACATTGAGCAACATAGCTAAATTGCAACAGTGTGTTACTGAGCAGGAATTAGGCAATAATAAGTATTTCAAAACATGTATTGTTGTTGATGTTGGGTTAGGAAAGCTTGTGAAAAGTTAGTTACTTACTTCTTGCACCAACTTGATAGGAGAAAATTACACACAAACTCAGGACGCAAAGTATTCAAGGTGTTTCTCTGTCAAAACATAGCAGTGTGTCTGCTTGAAAAACATTTTTTTCTGTGATTTTTAAATGGCAGTTGAAAACCAAAAAGGTGCATTACCGCCACCAACTGGACTGGAGTGTAAATCCATTATGCTGAAACAAAAAGGGGCAAGGGGAAAAGGGGAAATAGAAATGACCCTGCCAACTAAACCTCCACTACTTTGACCCTATCTGATCCTACACCAGGCAGAGGCCTGGGAGGATGGGACACTACCACTCAACACACCCTGTAACTCTTCTGAAGTTAAATCTCATACACCCAAGTACTTCTCTGCAGCTGGCATCACATCTATTTTCTGTGATTTACATTCCATTTTTGCAGTACAATTGATAACCATTGCTATGAACGCTAAGAGCCAACCTTACTGACGCACATATCATTTGTTGGCCTATCCCTCTGTACTAGCACCAGTGGCCACCCGTCTTTCAGGGCATGTTATTTTGGCATTAATATGTGTCACATATCTGTTTGCAAACAATGTCAAAAATACAAATAAGTAATTGAGTTAATAAAGCTGCATACTAACATGGTCTCTTTTTTGCTTTCTTGAGAAAGGCAGCTCCAAAATGCAGGTGTTTGAGCCTAGCTCAGTGCTTTCTGTGGTGGTGGTGGGGCAGCCAGTGGAAAATATGGCGCGTAGGGGTTGGTAATGTTCTCTAGTTGCGCCGTGATTGGCTCAGTGTTCTGTCACTCATTGGGACGCTACACCGCCAAATCTAAGGGTAGACCTCGAAAATTCAAGCCCCTTGGGTGCTGCCATAGAGTTACATTGGAAGTGCCCATCCAAGAAGGCTCAAGGTCAATGGCCACAGATAAAATGACGTCAAATCACGTTATATCTACAGTAGCTTTGATTGGACTGATCATGTCAACATCATCCTTTCAAAATCTTAGCTAGCAGTCATCATCAGGAATCAAGTCGACAATCTACTGGCAAATCCTTTTTAATCCTTGTCATGTGAAGATAAATAATTAAGAGAAATTATAGATAAAATCTATCAATGCTCATCGGCCATTGGACATAAAGCTACAGAGGACCACATGTAACTCTATGTGGTCCTCTGTAGCTCAGCTGGTAGAGCACGGCGCTTGTAACGCCAAGGTAGTGGGTTCGAACCCCGGGACCACATATACACAAAAAAATGTATGCACGCATGACTGTAAGTCGCTTTGGATAAAAGCGTCTGCTAAATGGCATATTATTATTATTATAAACATTACACAACAAGTTGGAAATCGCAAATTCAACAATGAGCGGTTTGGAAGGAATCAGTGGCTAACTGCAAGCTTTGCAAAGCAATCACTAGCCTGCTATTCAGTGGAGTGGCTGTGTGGTCCCAAGTCTGGGTTTAAGGGTCTCTTTTCCAAGCTTAAAATTATAAACCTTCAACATTGGCCATGCTGTCAATCCAGCATGATTTCTGCAGCACAACTGTTAATTCGGAACTGGGAAATCTGACTTCAGTGAGTACACCCAACTGTGAACTCGGGAAAAAACTAAAAAAAACTATGCTTTGAACGGTCATCCAACTCGGAATTGTAAGTCGGGAAATCGGGCCTCTTTCTAGAGCTACAAACTGAAGATCATTGACGTCATCATGATTCAACCTTGTTTTTTTCCGAGTTCCCAGTTGCCTTGAAAGCACCATAAATCCAGAGAATGCCAGACTTTGATGACAAAGTTTGATGATGATATTTGCCTGTTCAAGTGAGCACAGCACTTGAACAGGCAGTTTGGTTCACGTTTGGAAAAGTCTGGGAGCAACAAGGGAGCGGTGTAAAGCTCGCCGCCATTGGACTCTGTAGCAGTGGAAACGGACAAATCTGGGTTTGGCGGATGCCAGGAGAACGCTACCTGCCCGAATGCATAGTGCCAACTGTAAAGTTTGGTGGAGGAGGAATAATGGTCTGGGGCTGTTTTTCATGGTTCGGGTTAGGCCCCTTAGTTCCAGTAAAGGGAAATCTTAACGCTACAGCACACAATGACATTCTAGACCATTCTGTGCTTCCAACTTTGTGGCAACAGTTTGTGGAAGGCCCTTTCCTGTTTCAGCATGACAGCTCCATATGAATGCCCCTGATTTTGGAATGAGCAGGTTTTTGGTTATGTAGTGTAACTTTTGGTTATGTAGTGTAGCTCGAGAAATAACGTACTCTCATTTTGGAAGGTAATTATATGCTTTGCAGACTGACTGGCTCCAAATTTGATTAGATTCAGGCCGGTGACGCCGTTACACTATTCAACCAACTGTGACATGTTTTGCCATGGCCCTGGGTTGGTTTGAGTTTGTTGCTGCTAGTTAGTACACTGTTGTAGATCGACATAAGTTAGCTAATACCACCATAGCTGCATCCAATATATATTTGGGCCCTAGACTTGGGTTGCACCTCGGAGGCTTATGTGACTGTTTCGTCTAAATTACACTAACTTAGAGTGACATGGAAATACGATGATATTGCTAAAGTAGGGTACAAAACATTAGGAACACCTGCTCTTTCCATGACATAGACTGACCAGGTGAATCCAGGTGAAAGCTATGATCCCTTATTGATTGTCACTTGTTAAATCCACTATACTTAGTACTGAATATAGGATGAAAAATATTAGTTTCATTTCCACTTGGAATTTAACGCAATTTCAACGTATACACAGTTCTGATGATTATGTTGAAATTGTAACAACCTGTTAGTCAGGTTAAGTCCCCCCCCCCCCCCCCCCCCCCCCCCCCCACACACTTTGTTTCCATTGGTCGTTTGAAAGGCTACGTCACGCTCTGAAATACAGACTCCCCGCCTTCCTTTGTGTATGTTGCTGTTTATCATCTTTCTTTCATTTTCAATATGCACAAAATTATTATTTACAAATAACATAAATGAATGTCTGATTACATGACAAGATTGTGATGTACCAGACTCCCATGTTCAGAATATTTTCACCTTTGATGTCTTATTGATCATTTACATTATTCATAGGGAGCTCATACCTGTACAGCGCCTTTGGAAAGTATTCAGACCCCTTGACTTTTTCCACATTTTGTTACGTTACAGCCTTATTCTAAAATTGATTAAATAAACAAACATCCTCAGCAATCTACACACAATACCCCATAATGACAAAGTGGAAGCAGGTTTTTAGAAATGTTTGCAAATGTATTACAAATTAAAAGCAGAAATACCTTATTTACATAAGTATTCAGACCCTTTGCTATGAGACTCGAAATTGAGCTCAGGTGCATCCTGTTTCCATTGATAATCCTTGAGATGTTTCTACAACTTGATTGGAGTCCACCTGTGGTAAATTCAATTGATTGGACATGCTTTGGAAAGGCACACGCCTGTCAATATAAGGTCCCATAGTTGACAGTGCATGTCAGAGCAAAAACCAAGCCATGAGATCAAAGGAATATTCCGTAGAGCTCCGAGACAGGATTGTGTCGAGGCACAAATCTAAGGAAGGGTACCAAAACATTTCTGCAGCATTGAAGGTCCCCAAGAACACAGTGGCCTCCATCATTCTTAAATGGAAGAAGTTTGGAACCACCAAGACTCTTTCTAGAGCTGGCCGCCAGGACAAACTGAGCAATCGGGGGAGAAGGGCCTTGGTCAGGGAGGTGACCAAGAACCCGATGGTCACTGACAGAACTCCAGAGTTCCTCTGTGGAGATGGGAGAAACTTCCAGAAGGACAACCATCTCTGCAGCACTCCACCAATCAGGCCTTTATGGTAGAGTGGCCAGACGGAAGCCACTACTCAGTAAAAGACACATGACAGCCCGCTTGGAGTTTGCCAAAAGGCACCTAAAGGACTGTCAGACCATGAGAAACAAGATTCCCTGGTCTGATGAAACCAAGATTGAACTCTTTGGCCTGAACGCCAAGCGTTACGTCTGGAGGAAACCAGGCACCGCTCATCACCTGGCCAATACCATCCCTACGGTGAAGCATGGTGGTGGATCGAGGGAAAGATGAACTGAGCAAAGTACAGATTGATCCTTAATGAAAACCTGCTCCAGAGTGCTCAGGAACTCAGACTGGGACGAAGGTTCACCTTCCAACAGGACCACGACCCTAAGCACACAGCCAAGACAATGCAGGAGTGGCTTCAGGACAAGTCTCTGAATGTCCTTGAGTGGTCCAGTCAAAGCTCGGACTACAGCAGCAGCCAATGTGTGGTGTTCAATGTAGGCTTACATTCCATGAGACTTTTGAAAAAAATATGCAGGCCTTGACATTAACCTGTTTATCCACTTGTCCTTCAGATAAGGAGGTGACTGAATGGTTATTGTGTTGTTTGATGCAAGAAACCACTTTACAAAATAAAATGCATTATTATTCCCATACCATTATTTGAGAATCTGAAAAAAATGCTACCCTCTGCCTATTGGCTACTTAGCTTATTCAGGCCTGTGTCAAAATACAACAGTGCCCCTTTAAGACACAAAAAAAGCTCTTTATCTGACTTGCTTTTCAAAGATGTCTAGAAATGTACACATTTTGTGCTCTTGTAGGAAGCAATCACTCCCCTATTGCTGACTACAAATTATCTATAACTGGGCTAATAACTCACTAACTAGCGAAGGATTTGAACAAAATGTCCACACATGGCTACATGGAGCTCTTGCTTTGATTTCAAAACAAGCACATCTACTCATGACCACAGCTGTAAACACTGTCAAGTTCAAAGTAAATGAGACAGATCCATAATAGGAAATTGTCTATTTGCATATAGGCCTACTGCAGCTCTAACTGGTTATGCTGCACCGGTCTGTGTAGAGTACAGGCTGAGTCATGCACAATAGAATCCTACTCCGATGCGTTCTGTCTACAACAACATCTCTTGCATAGTTAGTTTTTTTCGGTATGTTGCATTGGATCATATCGCGTTGATTCATCACAATTGCCACAGTAAAGGAAAGTTGAGAAGTTAAATCTCATTCTTCTCTCCATAGGCTGATATTTATTTTGCACTCTGCTCCGCAGTCCCGGGGGAGCTGCTTGGCAGTCTCAGGAACTGCCTGTATGTTGCTCAACCACACCTGTCACGTGCAATAGATCAATCTGAGGAACTTTCATTTACAGGAAATCACCAAGAGAAAGACAGCAACATGGGTGAGCTCTGTTCAACTGCATGATCATTTGTAATCATATAACTATATTTATTTCACATAAACTATTTTAAAAAGGGCACCAGCTAAAACAACCTATTGTATCTGTATTTCTCTAATTTGGATAGGAGTTGGAATTGGTGGATTCATTACTTTCTTGACTTTAGCCTCTCGTTTTGGAGACATTACAAAGGTTGACACCAGTGGGGCTTCAGCGATCACCGCTAGACAAGACAAGCTAACCGTCCAAGGTATGTGAGTGACTGGTATTCAGAACCTTCCAATAATCAATAATAGTCCATCCATCGAATCTATATAATTTTATAGGAAACAAATGACATACAAAGTTAATATTTTATATTTATTTTACTATCAATCCTAATTCTCTAAAGGGGTGGATGCCTCTCATAAACTGGCTGAGCGTGACCTGGTGAGGATGAAGCAGTACAAGGAGCTCATCACCAGGGTGGGGCAGAAGCATGGCCTGGACCCAGCTATCATTGCTGGCATCATCTCCAGAGAGTCCCGGGCGGGGGCAGTGCTTGACCATGGCTGGGGAGATCATGGGAACGGCTTTGGGCTCATGCAGGTTGGTTGGCAGTTGCCACAACATTTGTGTACATGTGTCGTTGATTGTGTGTGAGAATGAGGAAGCAGAACTTACCAAGGGGATTTCTCTTGAAATCTGGGAAGTTTGATAGCATCTTTCTCTTCCTCTTTTAGATTGTACTATAGGATATTTTTGTAATGCAATAAAAGTGCCGTGATTTATTTCTAAATATTTTATTTTCATAGGTTGACAAGCGCTACCACAAGATAGTGGGGGCATGGGACAGTGAGGAGCATATCAGTCAAGGCACTGAGATTCTAATTGAGTTTATCCGAAGGATCCAGGCTAAATTCCCTGCGTGGCCCAAGGAGCACCAGCTTAAAGGTACCGTATTGCTCACCCACCTTTTTGCTCTGTAGTTTGATAGAAGTGAGGAGTTACATGTTTGTTGTGTATGCAAATGCATGGATACCATGGCAAAAACCTATTGTATATCTTTTCAGGGGGAATTTCAGCCTACAATGCTGGGGACAAAAATGTCCGCACCTATGAGCGAATGGACGTGGGCACCACTGGGGGTGACTATTCCAATGATGTTGTTGCCAGATCTCAATGGTTCAAAAGCCAGGGTTATTGAAGAGTCTCTTCATTATATACACCAGTCTTTGATTCTACCTATGGTGAAAATATTCAGTACATGTCTTCTATTTTCTGAATAAATCAAAGCAGTAAAATTACTTCTCTGAATAAATCAAAGCTGTGAAATACATTCTATTTTCTGAATACATCAACTGGAAATGTCATTGTGTGGTCACTGGTCAACTTTTATAATTCATAGACGTTTCCTATTTTAAGCAAACATCCTCTAATGCATACAAAAAAGCTACCACTAGAGAGCATAGCTGCCCACAGATTTACCCCTCAATTCTCAGATTTCCCCAAAAACTATTTGACTTTTTCTATGGACATAAAATGAGGGTATTTGACCATAAAATCATTTTGAAAGATACCTGTTGTTACAGAGATTACAAATGGTGTATAATATTTGAGCCGACTACAGTAGTCCTAAAATATAGTTTCATTATTTTAGGGGTTTTGGTCAAGGACTAACAGCAATATTGTTTCCAATCAGGTGGTTCATTTTTCAGCATGATCAAATTCTCCTACACCATACACTGAGCATATAAAGCAGACCTAAATGGAGTTGTTAAAAATACACCATCAATGTTATCTTGGTTTTAAAGTTGATCTTTATCTATAGACCTTTGAGAGCAAATTCTCAGTGAGTCAACTCCTGCACACAATTAAGTTACTTCCTCGAAGAGAAAGCATGCGCGGTACTCTAGTGCTTCTGCTGGCTAGTTGAAGAAAGACACGAGACCTCAATGGGCCAGATCTAATCATCACAAATCACCGACGTCTTTTTGACTTTTTTGATGGATGACTGCATACTTTAAAATATAGCGCCTAACTCAGTTTGTAAGTAACATTTTCTTTCATGACGAACTTACAGAGACATATTGTTTGATAAGATTTAATATGGTTCGCACCAGTTGCTTTTTCTATTTTGCTTGTAGGATTCGCAAAAAAAAAACTGTTGAATTCAGTTGGTGGTGGGGTCCAACCTTTCTTGGAAGATTGTTACCATAAACTGCGCTCTTCTTTATTACGGATGCGATGTTGTTGAATTATACCTCTCACTTGAAGTAACTCCCACATAATCTGATGTGTTATCTTTAGCATAATGTGACTCGTCATCCTCTTGAGTTGATTTTGGTTACAAATATATTTGACTTATATTTACTTTTTAAAGACAATTAGCTATTGCTTTCTTAAAAATTTAGTCCGATTTTCAATGGCCTATAGGCTATAATTGTCTGCTCCTCTTTGACAACACAGAAGGATAATGGTGATTGTTGTTTTTACACGGTTTCAATAGGCTATGGTTAAGATACTAGATAGTCAATATTTTGTCCACCTCAGTTGCATATTCCCAGCAGCTATCTGGTATGATATGTCCATCAATAACTTTACATAATTCCTTATTTGATGCACATAAATCAATATACTTTATGTCCCTGGTTTGGTGCAGGGCAGAAAGGTGTTGACTTGAGCCACTGTGTGGAATAAAAACAAAGAATATTGTCAAATCTGTCTGCAGATGTTCCAGGCATGCAAATGCAGGAGCTCCAACCTGGAATTTTCCATTATAAAGGAAATATCTATACCTATATAATACCTAATTACTGTACTTATGTCAGCAGAACTGGGTGGCACATTTATGGCAAATACATTGAAATTCCATCATAGGGCTTTTAGAAAGTCTCCCGTGGCCATCTGATGATGCATGGTGTGTCCAGTCCAGTTTTGTTATTATTACGAATATCGGCAAATCTTGAAGAAATATCCCATTGTATATCTCTTTATAATGATGGAATTATATAGTGACATCAAAGGATAAACGTGCTCAAGTATAGTCTCCCTGTGCCATCTGGATTATTGTAGCAGTTTATTGTACAAATTGAATGCAACAAGTTTAATCTGGATTGTTCTTGACCGTGAGTGTTTTTTTTTTTACAATGATGCATAGCATTATATCTGAGCATAATGTCACAAAGTTGAACAGGGGTCAGTATAGTGGTCACAGCTGTCGTTAGCCTTGTAAACCACACACAGCTGACCAGTAGGACCAACCAGATTGAGCCATAGCACTAATTACATGTTCTAAATGGGCCAACTGGGAATTTAGGATACAGCGAAGAGCAAAACACTTAAAAAATGTGTCACAATTATTTGATTATCACCATGCATTTAAATCCTTCAGATAAATCACTTCTCGCATGCCCTCACGGCCCACACATACAGTGCAGCAAATGATTTGTAGTATAAGGAATGCCTTGTGAAAAGGGTCCCAACTGTAGGTAAATGGCAGACTAGAGGGCCTTTTAGCAGTTTATCAAGCAGTAAAACCCAGCAGGATCCCTTTTCATATGGAGAGCGTGAGAACAGAGTGGGTCATTTCAAGGGTCAGCTCTGACAGGTTTCCAGCACCATGAGAAGATAACCACAGGCAGGCAGGCAGAGAGGAGAGGAGGACTGTGTGTTGTTTTTGCTGTATACACATCCCTGTCTATCCGTGACACATTCAGCCTCACCCTCCCACCCAGCATGGCAAGCTCCCTAGCTCAGCTCTGGGGTATAATTGTTTTGTTATTTACAGTTCTGCATACATGGTCTTAATAAGAGTTTGGACCAGAGAGCTCGCTGCTCACAGAAGATGTGTTCCAGATGTGAGTAGGAATTCCAAGCGCTTTGTAAAGAAAAGAAACCGTACTCTGCAGGAGTTGACTAAAGAAACTCGAGTCAGAGCAAACTGTTGAGGGGACGAGGGATTCGAGAGAGCAGGGGGAAAGGGGCCTCTTGCTCAATCATGGGCACAGATTTAACTCTTCAGAATTCAGCTTTATATTAGTAACTATCTAGAGTTGAAAACAGCATGTTCTTTTACCCTACAGTATTTTGGTGAACCACAAAGTTTATGACAATCGGTGTGTTTTAAGGATTGAGCAATGCTTACATGTGTTTTGCAAGTTATCTCATACACTAACCGTCATTGTACATATTCTCCTTATCAGGAGTTTCTATACTTTCTCAGTTATGACCCAAGCAAGCATGGGATTCTGTGGGGGCAGTGAAAAAATGTTTCAGGAAATACCAACATTTTTTTCAAGGAGGAAAACTGACCGACATTCCTCATAGCTTTAAAAACAGGGATAGATGTGTTTTTCAAATGGGTCCACATAGTTTGTATGAATGGAGATTTCCCATGCGTGAGATTCTACTCTGATGTAGTCTGTCTGGATGTTTGAATACTAAGATGAAAGCTACTTGTGATTGCTATTGGTGTATAGTAGACATCTTAAAGGCCCAGTGCAGTCAAAAACATGATTTTCCTGTGTTTTATATAGTGTATATATATTTCCACACTAAGGTTGGAACAATACTGTGAAAATGATAATGCCCTTTTAATGTAAGAGCTGTTTGAAAAGACAGCCTGAAATTTCAGCCTGTTTTGGTGGGATGGAGTTTTGGCCTGCCTGGTGACATCACCAGGTGGTAAATTAGTTAATACACCAATAAGAAAGAGTTCCAAACCTATTTGCCAATAAAGGCTAATTGTTTTATTTTCCCCTCCCCACTCAGACCACTCCCAGACAGTCCTATCACAATTCTTGCTTGATAATTTGCTGTTAGGCTAAGAAGCTGTTTTTGTTTCTTTTTGACAATTTTAATTTAAAACAATCACAGTAAGGTACTTAATTGTCACCCAGAAATTATTTGATATTGAGATAAAGAAGGCTACATTGGACCTTTTTAAAGAGATTTTCCAGAAGTTTTGTATACTTTTTAGCCAGTAGTTCTGAAAGTAGCACCCAATAGACAAAAAGGGTCCCAGTAAATTGTGCAACATTTTGTACAATGTCGTAACTTAATTGCTCTCGAGCCCCCTGCAGAGTGCGTGTGCTTGGGCTCACCCCGCAACCTAATTTGACAATGCTGTGCCGATCTGATTCCGCCTCCCACTTTAAACTTGCAAACTCATTGTACATCTTCATTCCACTTGCCAATCAACATTTTCCCTAATGTTCGGTTGTGGCTAGTTTCTGTGACTAGTATGGCAAGCAAGTGATTGTGATAATTGCTATACTTACAGGTAACTGCCAAAATAAAAGAAACACCAACATAGTGTCTTAATAGGGTGTTGGGCCACCACGAGCTGCCAGAACAGCTTCAATGCACCTTAGCATAGATTCTACAAGTGTCTGGAACTCAATTGAAGGGATGTGACACCATTCTTCTACAATAAATTCCATCATTTGGTGTTTTGTTGATTATGGTAGAAAATGCTGTCTCAGTCGCTGCTTAAGAATCTCCTACAAGTGTTCATTTGGGTTGAGACTGACACACACAGTCTTGTACAGCTAACCTTGTGGGGACACACAATTCAGTCCCATTCAAAATCCTAATCCCTAACCCTAAACATAACCCTAACCCATACTCTTACCCTAACCCTAACCCTAACCCTAACCCAAAAACCTAACCCTAGCTCCTAACCCTAAAACTAACCCTAGCTCCTAACCCTAACCCTTAACGTAATTCTAACACTAATTCTAAACCCCCTGGAAATAGTCCCCACAAGGTCAAATGCTAACAAAATGTCCCCAGTTGGTCAAATTTAAGTTTGTTTACTATTCTTGTGGGGACTTCTGGAATAGCTAAACACGTCCACACACACCCTTTAAACCCCTTATGCTCCTTTGAGCCCCGTCTTTCAAAGTCACAGAGATCTCTTCTAGCCATGGTAGCCAAAATAATGGGCAACTGGGTATTTCTATACATGACCCTAAGCATGATGGGATGTTAATTGCTTAATTAACTCAGGAACCACACCTGTGTGGAAGCACCTGCTCTCAATATACTTTGTATCCCTCATTTACTTAAGTGTTTCCTTTTTTTGGCAGTTACCTGTATATGTTAGCGTCAGATGTCCTACTCCTTGAAAGTCGTGTATTGATTATATATAGCATTTGCCTACGTGATGAAGAATGATCGCTGGCAATCAACTGCAGTTTTTGATTACCCCATATCATGGAATATCTGTGTGAACGTATATAAGGACAAAAGGTGGACACATGAAATTATTTGATTTGGATTGATGGTTGACACAACAGAAAGGTAGGCCAATATTTTCTTGTCCAAAAAGTTGATGAAAGTTTGCTTCAGTGTAAGGGTTGGTGTGTGGTGTGACCCAGGTGCGGTGCAGGATAGACA